GCATAGTCAAGACTGCATGAAATTGTGCAGGTCCCAAATGGATCAATTAGCTTTGAAAAAATTGATAGAAACTAAATGGGAAGAAAAGATAATTGCAAAAATCTAGCATCTTCATTGACAGTGATATTTTTTGTATGAACTGTCAAAAGATATGGCAAATTCATATAATGATAAATTATTGAAAAAGAATGCAATTATATGGGAAAATATAAAAAATTTTTTTAAAGATGTTATATTTGAGAATATTATGACCTCAAAATATTAAATTTTTTAGAACAGACAAGGGAAATTTTTTGGAAATGTTCAAAAAAAATTGAAGAAAGCAAGTTAACAGAAAGTTGAAAAGAAATATTCAAAATTTTCAAAAGTTTACCATTAACAGGAACCCCAGTTTTTCATCAACATGTTGCCAGGAGAATTAATATTTTGGAAAAAAATTGAGTAAAAATCGGTGTTTGAAATATTAACGTTCCAAAAAAAAAACAGATAAAAAAAATGAATTTTTTCTTTTCATTTTTGAAATTTTGATAATGGTTCTTTAATGGCAAAAAACATGGGAAGAAATATCTCAAATATCAGAAGAATTGGGAAATTGATTTAATGGTAAAAGAAAAAAATTATTTGAGAAAATAGTTAGATTATAATCAGCTGAAAAAAGGTCCATTGATGAAAAACCTTTTATTGGAAGAATCAAAAAAAATATTGTATTTTTTTATAAATTTTTTTAATTTAATTCATTTTTTTACAAATTTTAATTAGTTCCAAAAAAATTTTTAAACTTTTTTGGAAGACAAAAAAAAACAAAAAAGTTTAGGACATTTAGAAACTCTTTTTTTTTTTTTCTAACTATACAAATTAACTCATAAAAAAAAAATATTTATAAAAAAGTATTAATTTTGAAATATGGGGGAAAAATTGTGGAAAATATCTAAAAAGTATTTTTGAAAATATACAAACTAGTCTATAAATAAATAAAGAGTGCTAAATTAAAGGGAAATTAAAAGCCATTTCAAGTAAGGCATTTTTTAATTTTTGTCAAAATTTGTCTTTTTTAGAGAAGAAACCAAACAAACAAAATATTATAAAAAATCTCCTTATATTTAGATAATAAATAAAAATTTAACATCACTTCTTTAAAAATTGCAAAATAGACAAATGAAAAGAAATTTTTTAAAATTGAAAAAAATTAAAAAAAAAAACAAATAAATGCATGTTTAATTAGGCTTTTTTTTTTTTTTGCATTGGTCAAACCTTTTTGGTCAAACAAAAATTTTTTTTTTAAGTTCTTGATTGTATCAATATGGTGAATAGAATTTTAATTATAAAAATAAAATTTGTAAATGCTTTTTTTAAAGCATTCCCTATTAAATTTTGAAAAAAACATCCATTTGCAATAAGAGATTTAATTTCAAAAAAAAAAAAAAATGTTTGTTTTACAAGTGAATTACCCTTCTCCGTGAAACTCTGAATAAAGGAAAAACACCATTCACATTTTATTACTATGTGTATTTATAACCTAAATCACTCCACGAAATCGCTAAAAAATAGAGCATAGCTTGATGAAAAAAGACGCCAAACTTTATGAAAAACAAAATTTTATTGTCTAAATGCTTATGTTATTATTAAGAGGAAAGACCAAAGTTTTTTTTTTTTATTTTTAAAAATTTTCCTTCTTTTTAACATTTCTAAATTTTGATTAAAAAAACCTTTTTTATTTGTATCACAAGGGTAGTAAATAACATAGACAATTTTTAGCACGTTTTTTTTTTATTTTTTTTTGGTATGACACATTAATTTGAAAAATCTTGCAAAAATAAAAATAATTATCGGATGTTAATGAAACTTTCAGAAACTATTCACAGATGATCGAAATTATTATAAATATGTTTTTTTTTATTAAAGTCATGGCAGAAATATTTTTTTTTAATTTTATTACCCCCCCATAACTAATTTTATGAAAAACTCTAGAAATTCGATCGAATCGGTTTTAGTGATTACAATAATTAAAAGCACAAGGCTTTGAGGAATGCAAATCATGTTTTTTTTTTTTTTTTGGATTGGATTACCTGAAAATCAGCTCTGAATTGTAACATACAAAAACTCAATAAAACAAATATATTATTTAATTTCAAATGCTTTTATTTGCTTTTAGTTGTTTTTATGAATATGGACAATATTTTCTGAAAGCAAAAAAAATTTTTCAATGAAAAATGAATTTTTAATACAATTATTTGTTATTTCATTAATTATAATAGATTTTTAAACATTTAAGTTGTTAAAATATTATAAAATTAGTTAAAAACCGCATCGGTTTCATAAGTGTCCTTATGAGATAGATCTTTTTTTTTTTTTAGCGCGTTGTAAATTGTATCATTTTGACTAATCAGAAGATCCCCAGTAATTAAGAAATGTAATTTTGTGTTTATAATCGGGCTGTAATTATAAAAAACGGAAGACCAACCAGAATACAATTAAGTTGCGTTATTTGAGTTAAGCATTGTTCTCCGCTGTTAAGGCCTTTACTTTTGCGAAACACGTGTGGAGAAGTTAATTTGATTTTTCAATTTCAACTGAGAAGGGTACCTACAAGTATCAGTATCATCTTATGAAATTTATATGATCTTATTTTTATATTAATCTCAGTTATGACATTTTTCCATAAATGAAATATCAAAATTAATAATAAAATGAATGGAAATACAAATAACACAGTAAAATGTAATAAATGTACATAAAATTATAGTATTTTATGTACAATTCTGATAAAAAAATTTCAAGAAAGGTACCTATAAATTAATTAGATACCTTTCTTAAGAAATATGAAATTTAATGTCACTATTAACAGTTTTATTTTAATTTCTTTATAATATATTTTCCATAAAGCATCATAAACGTAAAGGTGAAAGCTAAGTACAAAAAAAAAAAAAAAAAAAAAAAAAATTAGAGCGCTGAAAGTTTTCCTTAAAAATAACGAGGTAAATAATTTGGTCACTTAAATGTAAATTGTTTCACTTTTCTCCTTCCGTAGAACAAATTAGCCTCATGGAATCCGTCAATATATCATTCATCACATGTCAAGAGACGCGAAAGTTTATGACCTGCTTTGTTTTATTTTCAAATTACATCTTTTTGGCACAAAAAGCTAAGTTAAGTTTGGTTCAAAATATTTTAAATAAACATTATAATTTCTGATTTTCTTAAAATAAGTTTTGAAAAAATGATAATTGATATTTAAAAAAATTTCAAAGTCAGATTTTCATTTTTTTTTCAAAAAAAAATGGTCAATTTTCTGTCAATTTTTGACTCAAAAAAAAAAAAGATTTTTAACGAAAATTTCGGACGTGCTAGGAACGATTAAAAATGGAAAAAATACCCCAAAATACTTTGACCTTTCCTCTTAATAATAACAAACATTTAGACGATAAAATTTTGTTTTCGTCAAGTTTGGCGTCTTTTTCATCATGCTATGCTCTTTTTTAGCGATCTCGTGGAGGTACCTATGTATATAAAAGCAACAATTCAAATTTCTGAGTGAAAACATTTCTCTGCTTATCTTAAAAATAAAGACACACATACGTTCATTTTGTTTTTTTATAAACATTCTGTATCCAAGTTACAAAAATACTAATTACAAAACTCCATAAAATTACCAAATGTCAACCAAACAGTTTCACCTTATTTAAATTAAAATATCAATAGTAACTTTTGAAAATAACTTAGGATGCATCTACTATAGCATGATGACTAAGTTTGTCTCACACATTCATGAGTATAGAGAGTTTGGTCCTCACAGGGTGTCAATGCTATTATGGTTGTCTTATGTCATATTAGACAGAAGTAAAAATATATAAATACAACTTGAACTTCAATATTATAAAAATGAAATATAAGAAATGACATAAGCATTGGTCATTTTTTATAGCTTTTAGTTTTAACTACTAAACAAGTACATAATTATAATATATGAGAGTGTGCTCAAGCCACTTTCCCAGAATTTCACCAAATAACCAAACATCAAGTTCTTTTGAATCCTTTCTTCATTGGAACAATAACTTTTCAGCATCCCCAATTTATGTTGACATAAAGAATATTAACAAAATCAAGTACTAATTCATTTTTTTTTTAATAAAATATTAATTCTAAGGATTTTAAGCCAGACTGGTTATTTGCTCTATATATGGTTCATGAAACTAAAAAGAACAGTTACCTCACTTTGATCTTTGTTTCACAAATGGAACAAGGCTTTTGTGCAAACATTTCTCTTTCTTATTTCATAAGTTGTTGACCCTGAAAGCTATTTCACCCAGAACAATACTAATACACAAAAAGATACCAATTGTATAGTTCGGAAGAATGTGTAAATTTGTAGTGCAAGCCATTTTTGGTGAGTTTAAGGTTTATGCCTTGGTATTTTGGTTTTGTGTTAGACAAGACTCAGGTTATTAAATAATCATATTAGTCACAGGGTGTTAATAGATTTTGTGTGGGGCATACTTTTAATGACTTTTTTTACACAACAAAGCTTTGCTTTCTAAAACAAAACCAATTGCAGAATGGGTTGATAACTTTAATTTCAATCTTTGAACTAAAAACATAGTGAAGAAAAAAAATTGACATTTCTATATAACTTGATATGCTGCATTTTTAATAAATATTTCATTATATTTGATTGATATTTATATTTTTCATAGAACAGAACTTAGAAAAAAAATCTTGTATTGTACATTTTTTTGTGTGTGTAGATCTGGAGAGAATTAAATTACAGAAGAGAAATGATAGTAGAAATCAAGAAAATGCTTTCAATTTTTTTATTAATAAAAAGTGCAGAAATTAAGGACCGTTTTCACATACAAAAAAAAGTTAGAAAACTAAAATTCTATTAAAATATCGACTTGGAACGGAAAGAGAGAGATTTTAAAATTGAGGTTTTATGAACCAAAAATCATACACTAACTAAAAAAACTAATTACCAAACCCTTTTTTGTTCGCTTTCGTGGTTAATGCAAGAACGTTTCTTTGTAATGAATAAAGATTTTCACGAGAACGTAAAACATTTTCAAAATATAACTTATTAAATAACTATATAATTAATTTTCATAAACTGTGAAGAATATGGAAAATAACATTTTACAAAAAGCAAAGAAATAAAAATGAAATAATAATTCTTGACCCATATGGATGTTGCTAAAAAACCCTAGGGCACATATTTTGGGGAATATCTGGTTTTTAGTTGTTTTCTAAAAAATACTTTTTTGTGAATTTTTGTGTAAAGGTCCAAAAAGTTCTTTTACTAAAGTTTTTTTTTTTTAACAAGAAAAAAAAAAAAAAAAAAATCGGCAGACTAATTAAAAAAAAAATATTATTTAAATTTAGAGATGAATTTTTTTTAAGAAATCTTTGTTTTTTTTAACTGGAAAAAATATATATGCATTTTTTAAGATTTAAAAAAAAATTGAAATTCATCACGAACTTTTAAAGTCGGTCATTGAACGAAATTTATGTAAATATTTTAAAAATTTTGAAACGAATAAATAAAGGAATATCTCCTTGTGCTGTTTAAATTAAGAAGTATTTGACGGAAGAAAAAAAAATGAAGCTCAGCTTTTTCTCTTCGAGTTAATTGAAATTTTTAAAGAATTTCTGTAGTGTAACATCCTGTAAGAAATGATGTGAAGCAGTAAGAAAAAAAACGATAGAATACTTTTAAAAAGAAACTATAATAATAATAATAATTTAGGGAATCTTTTCTCACATACAGTTATTAAGCCCCACACAATATTTGTCTTGTGCATATAAAAAGAACACCAGATATTTTTCTTTTCTTCTTTTTGCAGAAAAAATGGATTTGCACAGAATTCATTTCTTTTTCAGTTTTCCTTATTGCAAATGAAACAATTTGTGCTTTTGCGGTTCTCAGCACAAAAATCTTTTCTCATATCCACGAATTGGTCTAGAAGCGATGATAAAAGTCACAAACGATGGTTTATAAGTTAAACGCTTGGAAATAAATATTAAGTAACTCTTGCAATTTAGTTCGAGAGTCGTATAGAAAACTCGTCAAAAGAGATGACAGCCATATCCTATTTCCGAGGTCAGCAATATTGCCATGGTGACGAGATTAACTTGATAAAAAACAATAAAAATTCACAAAGGAAATGTGAATGTTTAACCATAATTACTGCCTATATTCATTTAACATTGATTCGTTACTGTATTTATTTTGATATCTTGTTTAAATTGCGTGAATAATAAAGATCCCCATTATTTTATTTATCAGACTTTGCAATGTCGAAGAGTACCGAAAATAACCGATCAGAGTAAGAGAGTTGCATAAAGAAAGTGTATCACGAAATTCGACAACTATTTTTAGAAATTTTGTAGAGATTATCTAAAAGATTTCAAAACGTTGTAGATATTGTGCATTTATTTCTTATAATTATTTTGTGTTTAGCTTTCCTTCCCGCCTTGCATTTCGGTTCGGTAGTCTTCGATTCATTCCGTGACAAATGAATGAATGGGGTTTACATTTTCTACCGAGTGGGTTCCTTGCGCTGCGCAAAACCTTTTCCGATTAGACCGAACTGCGCAGACTTGCATGTGCTGGGTGGAAATTATCTTATGAAAATTTAGTAAGTAGCAAAATCCTTTTTACCGACATTTCCTCTAACTCGGGTTAATTGCACCTTGTAGAGTCGTTGCTAGGGAATCCCTTCTCGGTATCTTCGAGGTGAGTACGGTCTGTTGTTATCGCAGTTTTCGGAACCAAAGCTTTGGTCCCCCTCCAAAGACTGCGAACTCCGAAGCCATTATTGGAGCTTCGAGGTCGCCGACATGGAGGAAAAGCGACTTGATCTGAGAGCTTGTTTAGTCAGGTGTAAAGAATAAAATATTTAAGTTTTAAGTAAATAGCTTATGTGTATGTTCTTAATGTTATCAAATAAGATAAGTATAGTTGTAGGCTTTTTTTTTTTTTTTTTAAGTTTGAAGTAATAAGGGAAAAATATAATCTCCCCTCCGCCTTTTTTCCTCCTTTTATTATATATCTATAGATAGATTTTTGTGTGTATGCACACATTTGTAAGTGTTGTGTGTGTGTGTATATATATATATATATATATATCTCAATTTTTCTAGTATTTTGTTTTTTTTTTTTGTCTTTTTATACGCGCATGAGTTTTGTTCAATTTTCTTTATTAAATTGTACTTCCAGTCAGCTTTTATTATTATTGGGGAAATCCCCCCTCCTCTGCCTTCATTTTTAACGTGTTTCTTTGTTGCATGAACGTTTTATTATTTATTTCAACCAACAGGCCCTCTTAAATGTGTGTAAAATATATATATATATATATATATATATATATATATATATATATATATTTTTATCACATTTGTACATTTAAGTAAATAGCTTTAAGTGTGTACATTGCAGGTGATTTCACATTAAAGAACGGAAAACAGATTTTTCATTCTTATAAAATAAAAAATCAGCACTTGCAAATCTCTTATTTAAAGACTGCCTTTTAGTTTCCGTTTTACTTACGAAACCTACTTAATTAAAAGTCGGCATTCATTTCTGATTGTAAGCAGTTTTCCTTATAAAGTTGTTATTCACTGCTAATAATTATTGAAGTAAAATAGATACATATAAATTAAAACTACTCTCTTGCTTCATACTTCTTTATATAGCTAAAAATTTCATGAAAAGTAGCTGAGCCATTTTAATTTTCTTTGTTTCACTTCATTTTTATAATCAGGTTTTGTATTTGGCAATATTTTAACTTTCAAACTAAAATACTTTTTTAAAAAATCGATTAAACTCTCATCTAGTAAAAAGAAATGTACTTTTTAAGGGATTTTTTCTTGAATAATCTTACTCTCTGAAAATGGGGATAGTCTGCAATTTCACCGATTTCTTTTTTTTTTTTTTTTTTTCTCCCTATATCCCTTATTTTCTTAATATTTTCATGTTTTTTCAATCCTAGTCTAGTAATGAGTTTAAAATGGAATTAATCTTATTCGTCATAGATAAAAAAAAATTAATCTCTGTTCACCTACTTTTTCCAAATTACTGTTTGTATCCAATTAAATAAATAACCTTGCAGTGGTTTTAAAACGTAGAACTTGTCACCTTTCTTTGGATGTTTTCCCCCCTCACCAGGTGTTTTGTTTCCAATCTCGGCGAATTTTTTTTCTTTTATTCAATGCTTTGTTTAAAAAAAAAAGTTTCACTTCTTGTATAAACAATGAGCTTATCTTTACGTTATTACTAGTGTTAATCCACGTGATGACTAAACCATTTAATAAATCCAAACTTAAATTTTGGTCTTTCATTGCATGGCAAGGTTTTACTTTTATTCAATATATTGTAAAGCAAGAATTAATAAGTATTTGCATTAGTGAATGCGAGTTTTTGCGTGTGTCTTTTTTTTTTTTTTTTTTTTTTTAAATAGTCTAGAAGCTTCTCATGATGGGCGCAGCTTGTTACATCGATTTCATTGTCGACTTGCTTCTACTGAACAAATTACTTGAGTGTTGTCGGAGACACAAAATCCACAACTCTTTCAGGATTTTTCTCTCCTCATTTTGTCACCTACTACTACTGTAGTGTAGTGGTACCAACTAACTTTGTTTAGCATGTTGCAATTAAGATATTTCGTTATTAATAAAAACTTAGTCTCTGCATTTTTTTAACATGTTTCGTTTTCTCACATTAAGAAAACGAACTGAAGTCTTTTTCTTGTCACGGGAAAAGTCCCAAATATAGGATATTTCCTGACCTAGTTTCTTCTCGGGGATATGGAGAAAATCAGCATGTGACCAGCTAATTATTAATGGTGGGAAGTTATCATTTTTTTTGCAGTTTAATAAATGAAAGTAACCCTTGCAACTAGACGTAACGTCCTATTTTTCTATTTGTGTGTGTGTTGCAAATCCAGCAGTTGTATCTAAAGGTGACTAAGTAGAGAGATATAAAAATATAGAAGCAGCGAACAATGAATAATGTCGCCCTCCTCCTTCCTTCTCAACTCTACTCTCTTTAGCATGAGCAGTAGTAAAACTAACATCAATTTTGGTGGCGGGGGAGTAGAAATAAAAACTCACATGGTCCGTTTTATTCTTCACGTGTTGGCTTTAAAATATATTCAGAGACAATTGACAAACACTAATGATATTCATCGTGACGTTTGGGGTCTTTGGGTTATTTTTATCTTAAATTATGTTCTCCATTAAACTAATATTACTTTTCTGTTTTTCATTTATTTCCTATATCATTTATACTGCGTAGAAAATGTATATTCTGATTTTAAACCAGGATTTTCTCTTTTACTGAAATAAAAATTTCGTCCACGTTTTCTCTTGACTTCCAGTTTAACAAAATGGCGGCATTTTTTTTTTTTTTAGCTTTATCTTTTTGTTCCAGTTGGTTAACATCTTTATTAATCTCTTCCTCTTATATCCTCTGAGATAATTACACCTTTGTGTATATGTATGTGTATCTTTTGAGCATGAATTGAATTAATTATTTATGAATTTCCATACACATTTTCGAAAGTACTTGAAGTCTTATCTATTTTTTTTTTTTTTTTTAATCTTTTAACGGTCGGTATCGTTTTACTGTTAATGTTTTATTTGTATCGCTGCATTAATGTTCTTAAAAAGAAATTATCTTAATTCAACAATTTTTATGCTCTTACACGTGGTTTAAAATTCGTGAGGGCCGTAAAGCTTAGCACGTGGGCTCACACCTTAGTCTTTGGCGGTTCTTTTACGCTCACTTAAAAAAAAAATCTTAAATGATTTTTTTTTTCCCAGAAATTAGATCGATTTGACAGATTGACAATGAAAAGTTTTTAAAATATTTTTCACTTTGACGTAACGTCCTTTATATTTGCTATTTTTGACCTTTCATTTTCTAGTTATTTTAATTTTGTTTTAGAAAAATGTCATTTGTTAAAAAATAATCGTTCATATTGTAATTTTCGTAAATTATATACCAGATTTGTAAATTGTGTAATCATCACTTGCCTGTATTAATTTACTCAGTTGTACTTTTTCTGTTTGTAGAGTAACTTGAACAGAAATGGTAATGGAAACACCCAGTCCACAGTGGGTTGGCCGAGAATTTGTCCGGCAGTATTACACTATAATGCATGAAGCCCCCAAATATCTGCACAGGTAAGTCTTGCAAACAGCATAAAAATGTTAAAACGTGGGGAATATATTAAATCAGAAGCTATCTTGACCATTCTGAGTTCGATTTATAGTTTTAAAATATATGCCTTGGATTTAATTGCTGTAGATTTGTAATTAATGTTTTAAAAAATTGTTTACCTGTAATTACTCCAAAAACTAGGTTCATCATTGATTAGTTGAAATGAGATTTGACTTTTTTCTTTTCTTTTTAATCTAAATTTCCACTTACTCATTAAATTTGTTGCATCACTAAATTTTGGAACTAATATATCTATATTTAATGCTTTTAATAAATATTGGCATTATTTGAATTTGCATTGTAAATCTAATCATTTTTGGTAACTTATTAGTGAAGAGTACTATTAAAAAATCTAAAACTATTTGTGTAACATTTTAAAATTATTTTTCTTTTAATCAGTGGCATATAGCATATGAATCACTTTGGTTGTTTGACTTCGCAAATTTGAATAGTTTAGATCTCATGGCGATGATGATAGCCTTGCCCTCTCTGAATGAAACTTGATGAGATTTCATTAATATACGCATTTACTGAGCCATGATATTTTGCAAGCAAGACATATTCATAGATGTATATTTTAAAAAATTGTGAAATGTTAAATGACTATTATTTGATATGGTTATGTATTTTTATCTTAGGAAAATTTTAATTTTATCTAGATTGCACTTTAATATTTTAAGTATTTGGAAGTTGGTGATCATATTCCTATCCTTTTTTATCATTTTAAGGCAATGAAGCAATTGGTGTTCAAGGGTTTGTTGTGTTAGAGAATGAGAAGAAACACTTCAGGAGAAAAGACAATAAAAGAACAAGAATTAAGATAATAGTTGATAGTCTTTTTAAAGATCAAACTTGACTGGGAAGCAAAAAGCTGGAAGAGTTTTCAATTGTAAAATGAGATCTTGCCACCAATCTAGTATTGCACTTAAATTCATAGTCTTGATAACAGAAGAGCTCACCAGAACAATTACCATGAAAGTATTTATAGAAAGGGCACAGGGAAGCTACAGCAGTGAGAAAGGAACTGAAGCCAAAATGTCACTTCAGGAGCAGTAACATTGCAGATTCTTTGGATTTTATCAAGAATCACTGAATATATAGGCCAGATGTGGCAGCAATATTCTAAGCATTGGCATTAAACTTAAAAATATGTAATAATCTAACAGGGGACATAATGAACCAACTTTCTTAGTGGACCTAGAAATTGATTCAATATAATCCTTCCACTACACGTCGACTGAAAAAGTTAGTCTGAGAAGGGCGTAATGAGTTGCTCTCATGGCTGTTAGCATCAGCCATGATGATGGAGAGTAGAATGCGTTCTATGATTAAAAGAGCAATTTCATTTTGAGGCATTAAAACTAACAAGCCACTCTTTGTCCCATTAACAGATGGTAGTTTGTTTTTATAGATCAGTCGCCAATTTGACCTTCTCGAACCAATCAGACTTATTAAAGAAGAGTAAATAGTTGTCATCAGCCTAGGTACAGAGTTTAGAACATGACATCAGGAAGGTCATTTATGAAAATTAGGAACAATGTAGGTTTAAGGATAGAGCCCTGGGAAACAATTTATCTTGAATAATTACTGTATTAACACCTAGCAATTTATAAAATACATGAAAAGAAACTAGAATTTTTTGATCTTGAAAGTGTGCATCAATTGGGATACCAAATTAATCCTTAATTTTGAAAGTTTCATATTTAAATTTGTGTCTAATAAAACTTAGTAAAAAAAAAAATAAATAAATATTAAAAGTATGTGCAAATTTTGAAACTTTTTTCCTTAACTCTTGTCCCCCACTTTTTTTTCTCTCTTTATAGAATGTAGCCTTTTATTAAATGGCTAATTTACAAGCAATACATGCAAAAATATTTTCCAAAAAGGAAAATCATATTCAAAACCTGTATGGTGATGTGTTTATAAAATAGATAGTTTTATTAAAAAAAAAAAAAAATGCAAACTTAGAAATGCCTTTAAAATACTATCCTTTTTAGTATAATAAAATCAAAATTATACTGAAACTATTCTATTTAAAATAAACTTAATTGTAATACTTTTTTGAATTGAAAAATGACAATTTAACACACTTTTAAAAAAATCAAATATCTGTCAACAAGTTCAGGAGTCAAACATTGGCATATAGCCCTGCAACACCCACATAAAAAATAAAATCTCCATTAAATTAAGTATAAAAGGCCAAAACTACTAAAACATATGCTTGTTTTGTCTGTTTAAAAATAATCCTCCTTAACTGTAATAACTCTTAATAAGTTAGGAATATTTTTTTTTTTGTACACTCTTATGAAACTTAAAATTATGGTTATATATATTTCCTTTATTAAGTATGACTTTTTTCTTAACTGAAGTCATGTAATAATTGCACTAAATCAGGTTTTTTTAATTTTAAGACTTTATTAAATAAGTGTATGTATGTAATGTCTTTCAGCAACCAATGTCATAAAAAATATAGCCAACCCCAGGTGTCATGCATAATTATTTTTAGCTTTCTATAAAAAATAGAGGTAATTTAGAAGTATTGAATTCTTTCATTTCTGTACAAAAATAATTTAACAATTGCAAAAAGAAAAAATATATTAAGATTCTTTTTAAAATATTTAATATCAAAATGACTCTTAAAACTTGGGCAATGTGTGTCATCACCTCACAATTGTGTTGATGATACCTTGAAATGAGGTGCGGGTAAATGACTGAAAAATTAGTTTTCTAATAAAACTATCCATTCAAAGTAAAATTCTTTCATTAAGTCCTGAAAATCTTTTAAATCTGATTTTTGATAATTTTTTTTTTTTTTCTTTTTTACTTGGTACTTTAAAAAGAAAAACATCATTAGAAAGAAAAGTGATTGTAGAAAATCCTGCTTTAAAAAATTTATTTTGTAGAGTTAGCCTATGCATTTTTTTTTTTTTTTTCCTATAAAAAGTTGGCTAATTATAAAATTTCAAAACTTTTTATAAAGAATTTTGCTAACAATTTTTCTGACATGAAGATTGCTTGAAACATGCAACTGACATTCAGTGCTGTGTTTATATATATAATATATATATATATATATATATATATATATATATATATACACACACACACACTAGCTGGTGGCTCATTTCAGTATTCCTGTCAAGTTAGCCAGCCCTGTTGTAAGCATCTGTTTAAACATGTTTATTCAATAACCATTTAACCAACTTTCTGGAAAGTGCACAATCTGGTTTGATCAGTAGTTGAAAAAAAAACAGTATGCTTGAAACCCTTGGTACAATGTTGCTTTGTAGAGGCACAGCCATGAATGACTTTCAACAGTCTTATCTGCCCAAATTCACTCACAAGCCTTGGGTCAACCTACAATATGGATTTCAAGCTCTTACTTGAGCTACACATTCTGATCCTTTTCTTGGGTCAATATTATCTGGAAGTCACTTCAAAAATCAACCTTAAAAATTATTTTTTATAAGGATTAATTCCTGGAGAATTATTTTAAACTTTATAATATGCAGGAGATTTACCCTGAATATAAAAAAAAAAAAAAAAATAGGTGCTCCACCAAAAATCTTGCTCAAACCTGGCAGCTCAACAAAAAAACTGGCTTGTTAAATTCACTGCCTCCAAAATCAAACTAGTAATGTTTCACTATCATTAAGACCCTGAACTTTGTTTTATCAAGTAGGCTCCTTGCCTTGGATGCCTTTTTTTTTTTTTTTTTTTTTTTTTTTTAACCAAAGTTCATCTCTGACTACAAACAGAATGATCCATTGCTAATGATTCTAGAATAGTGGTCAGTCCCTTGTACCACTCTGGGAAGTATCAGAATCCTCCAGCCATGCTCTTTACAAGAGCCAAATCAGGCTGAAAATGGAGTATTGCTACCATATCTGGGCTGGAGCTTCTGCCCATGAACTACTTTGTGGACCAGACTCCTGGGAAGATGTTTTCCTGAAAACTACAATTTTAATCTTCCATCTCAGGTTAACTGTTAAATCTCTTATATAAACTGCACTTACCACCTCTTTGAGGTGCAACATCATTATTCAGTAACTCTGTTAAATCTCTTATATAAACTGCACTTACCACCTCTTTGTGGTGCAACATCATTATTCAGTAACTCTACTTTGAATGGCACTTGGACCTTGTCTTGTTTGGAATTGTTTTATTTTCAATAAAATGTATTGTTGACCTTTTTGAAGAAAACAAATTTTTCATTAAAGTGTTAAAATTACTCATGCTTCATGAAAACTGAAATCTTATTAAATAACTTTTAATAGAAATAGTAACTTTACCTGCTTATTTTAAAACTTTAATGTAATGACATTTTGCAATTAGCATGTATGGAAGGAATGTTACGTTTTTATCAGTGCATTTCTATATATTCCTTCTTTACACTTTGCCTAACACTGGAAATGTTTGGAAATCTTGTTTGTTTTTTTTTTTTTTTTTTTAAAACATTTAAAAGTAAAGGTAATTAATGTGTGTGGGAGATGGGTAGTTTTCCACAAGGTATTTTTTTTTTTTTTTTACTAAGAACTTTTCATTGAAGAAACCTAGGAGGCAGCAAGTATTTCATTTTTTTTTTTTTTTTTTTTTTTTTGTAATCAGTTTAACAACCACCTTTTGAGCCAAATTTATAGTCAACATTTTATTTCAAGATACCATTAATTTTTCTTCAAATAAAATATCTATGCGGGTTTACTTTTGAGAGATTTTTTTAAAATCAGTTACAGCATCAGTCCTGATTGGATCCAAGTTAATAGACTGTAAACAAGGGTTACATTAAAACTTGATATTTAAATTATCACAATAAAGGATTGAAAACATTTGAGATACTTGTGAAAACTGCAGAAATTTTCACATAAACTGAGCCCCTGGAAACACTATCTTATTTTAACATAGGATTAAAGAAATTTCTTTTAAATGTAAGAAGTCTTTGATATTCAGGGGTAAAATAAATCTTTTTAAGACAGTAGCATATTAATGGATCCTTTCTCTTAGGGACTTCTTTGTTGGGCTTTTCTATATCCCTTTGTATTAAATACTAAAATGCATAATGACATAGATGACATACAGCATTTTTATTTTATGCAACTGTAATAATGCAGGCTTTAAAGGTTATTTTTGGCTATGATCCAATGACATTGAAGTTTGTTCATTGGGTTTGTAAATTTTGTATTGAAATGTAAACTGAAGCCTAGTATTTTTGTTGTACTAATTAAAATTAGAAATACGAGTAGTTGACACTTTAGATTACTATGAAAATAAGTTTAAAATTTTATCTAGAATTTAGCTCCATGTATACAGTGTTTCAAACATTAACTACTTGATATATCTATGCATTCCTTTAGTAATGCAACCAAGTTATAAGAATGTGTTATCATTCAAAGAAATAGTGTTCTTCCTGATATATAGATAGAAAGTAAACAAAAATCTTATTAAATCTTGCTAAAATGTTAATTACAAATACAAAACTAGTAGCAGCCATTTTAACATTTGAAATGTGATGGTCACTTGGAAAACTGCTTGCAATGATGCTGTAATTTGCGTCTGATGGCACAATGCAGTGATGGTTGCCTGCCATCATAATACTGCATGTATCAATTGACGAAACAAACTTTACTGAGCAGGCCAATTTCTGGGTAATTATTTAAATAATTAGGCAGGAGTCGATGGCATTTCATAAGCATTATTTTTCATTTGCAATAGTATAATTGTATAATTTATTGAATGTATATTGTATTAGTATAGGTTAGATGAAAAATATCAATTTTATTTTAAATGTCTTTATAAAAATGTTATTGATTGAATAATTTTAAGAAATACTTTGGATTTCCAGCAAGATCTTCAGTTGATTGTTTTAGTGGTGGCTTTGAAGTCGAAGGTTGCAGTAGCTAGTCAGCAAATAAATAGGTAGATGGGAAATAATTCTGCTTCGTAATTTGTTACTGCTGCCTTTCATATTAATACATAAAGATCTTTTAATGCAAACTTTTTTTTTTCTATTTTAATCAGAAATTTTTTAAAAGCATGATTTACCATTATTTAACACCAGTTGCAGGTTCTTAAATGAAATGTAAAAAAGAAAAATTCTACACTCTTGATGTGGTAATGAATTCATAGATTAAGAATAGATGTATCAAATTTTTGAGTTTGAAAATTGTGTTTATGCATTGGATTTTTAATTTTTTTACAGGTTTTATAGCCACAACTCCAGTTTTGTTCATGGTGGTGTAGAGAAAGCTGGTGAAGAGCAACAACCTGTTATGGGACAAGTTGTAAGTTTATAAGTTACTTGTTTATGTGCCACACTAATTATGTGCACTCCCCCCCTTCCCGTTTTATGGCATTTGCTGATATTGACAAATACCTCTTGTGTGGTTTTTGTGTTGTGAGGAGGGGGGGGTCCTACTTAGCATCAAATGCTCTAAACCAATAAGAGTCTGAAACTCTTGTACTAAATTTACAATTGCGTTGGCTGTCCTGGTTATGGCAATGAACTACATCCATGTAATGGGTAAGATGATAAACTACGTCTGGCAGCAAGGCCTCTGATCAGGAGGTTTTGAGGAGTGTGGAACCACTTAATTGTTGTTCTCAGGTCCACCCTGACCTGCAGTGGTAGCACCTGTTAAGGTCTCAACTATGGGCAAATAGTTAACCCACAAACTGGGATTAAAATTTTATGAAATTGTAAAAATAGGTTTTAATACCAACAACTATATATATATATATATATATATATATATATATATTTTTTTTTATATATAAAAAAAATTAAATTTATTACCGCCAACAATAAAAATCTTGTCAGCATTTAATGACCCATTGAGGCTGATATGCTGTAAACCAAACAATAGTGTTGGACCATCTGAATACTGAGAAATGACGTATGTACAAACAGCCTTGATGGTTTTGGAATCATCAAACGTAATAAGATAACTTTCTAGTTGTAGCCATTTATGATAATCCCTCATCAAGAATGGCTACTCTGCTAGAAAAGCAAACTAAAGAATTTGGTATAGGTAATTCTGTATGATGGGTTTGTAGATTAAACACAGATGTGTGAAATTGTTAATCTTTATTGGGATACTATTCAGAACACATTTGAGATGAAAAAAATGTGAAATACTATGGATTCGTTTAATTCTGGGCAATTTTGGGTAAATTGTGGTTCTTTTATACTGACTGCGATAAAACATGAGCTGCATAATCAAAGGCTTATACTAATAACCTTTTATTCATGCACCTACTTTGGTCTGTTAAGCTTTTTCATGTAGTTGGTGAGGTGGATAGTATCGTAGCTCATCAATATAAATGCTGTATTGGCAGTGTTCCATTTTGATTAAAACTATACTTTTTTGCTGATGGACTGTAGGCTTTGGGAGAAAACAAATTTGTATGATGACAGGCCTGATGTAATCTCATGTAACCAATTACCAACGTCTGCAAAAGCTCCAGATTTAAGTTTTTACACAAATTCACCTTAAGTTGTGATTATTATACCAATGTGATGTGATACTGTTTACGATTCTTAGCAAGCTGCCCCCCCTTTTTTTATTTAGCCGCAATGAGAAGTCTTGAGGCAGCCAATGCATTTGTTTTTAATGCTTTGCCTTATTAAGCAGATTTCTTCATTGCTAGGCTCTCTTTTTCTCTAATGCAGAGTTTCAGCCATTTTTATTTCAGCACATTTTAAATTTTAATAAGGAAAAATATGAAATTTGAAAATAGTCTCCTGAAATAAGCATTTATTTTTAAGACATTACATTGTATATTTAAGCGGTAGCGTTTTCAATTTTAAATGGGTTTATGAAGAATCTGCTACCTTTCTTTTTAGAAAGGTCGATAATGTACATAAAATTCATATAGGAAGGCAAAAGGGAAAGGATTATTCACTCAAAGATTATGGAATTTAGCAGGTTTAAAATATCAAATGACAAAGACTTTACTTAGACATGGACACCATGTACTTGGTATCTATAGCTTTTTTTAAAAGGTTTAAAAAATAATTAGTAAATCACTTTTCTGTTAATTTGGGCTCACCTGGCTCTTTTAGAATATGAGGCTACTGAAAAAAATTCTCAGTCTGACCTACTTTCCAAAATTTGACCAGACAAGGCCATCAACATTTCAGCACGCATCTCTTATTCATCTCAATGTTTTTTATCCTTTTTACTTTATAGGACATTCATCAGAAAATCCTGTCTCTGAACTTTGTTGATTGCCGAGCAAAAATCCGACAAGTGGATAGTCAAGCCACGGTATCCAATGCGGTTGTGGTTCAGGTAACTTTATTTTTAGCATGTAAGAAACAACTTTTAATTCAATTATTTTTAATCACATTTTAGATACATACATTTTTCCAAAAGCTATATTTTTTTTTTTTTCTTTTTTTCCTCTCTCCTTAAAATATAGTTAAAAGTAATTGCAATGAGTGAATCTCTTAAAAGCAAATTTGTAACCATTGAGAATTTCATCTTTTATTTGATTCTTTTTAGGTGACTGGTGAATTGTCAAATGATGGGCAACAAATGCGTCGCTTCATGCAGACTTTTGTGTTGGCTCCACAATCACCCAAGAAGTATTATGTCCATAATGACATATTTCGTTATCAGGATGAGGTTTTCCATGATTCTGAATCTGATGTTGAAAACCTGGAAGAGAGTGGTGGTAAGTTTCTCTAGAATAACTTTGAATAAATCAAATGTTTGTACAAGTAAATTTAAAAAAAAAAAAAATGAATTAGCTGTTGTAACTGGAATGTAAGAATTGCTTTAAATGTCAGTTAAGAGAGAAAAAAATGTTCTTTCAGAATCTGAGCAGGAGCAAACTGAGGCTGTTTCTCAAGCTGAACCTGTACCAGAGCCAACAGTGTCACAGTACTATGATCAAACATCTGTGCTAAGGTAACTTTCTTAAATTTTGACAGATTTGAAGTAGCTTTTTTTTTTTTTTTTTTTTAGATAGTAAATAGTTTCATGTTTAAATAAAATTAGCATTTTTAAATTTTGGGCATGACCTTAACCTTGGCCCCCCACCCCCTGCATTACTAATGAATGTCTGATCTTCCCCTCCTCTCCCACCAAAAATATTCTCTTTAAAGTGACTATAAATCAAGAGCCATGTTAGACAGAACTCCTGGTAGGCAAACTGTACTTCTAATGTGAACTTCTCACTTCATTGATGGTAGCAATGGCAATGCAGAGATTGAAGACAGACCTGAATCACCTGCACAAAAGTCTGTGGAAGAAGAGCCGAAGGAAGAACCTCCTGAGGAAGCTGCTCCAGAACCAGAGAAAGAGGCAGAGATTAAAACTCCTGAGCCAGAACCTGTTCCTGATGCACCTGGTAAGTATACTAACTAGCTTGCTCTTGTTATAATGGGTGTAGTCTAAATGCTCAAGTATTGGGTGCTTGTGAATATTACCTATTAGATGTGTTTATAGTTTGCTTCGTGACTTTCAATATTAGGTTTTGGAATTTCATGTGCTGCAGGGAGTTTATATTAGCAAAAATATGGTCAAGCCTTAAAGAAAATGTAATAATTTCACAGTATTTACATTAGTCGGACTATTGTCCTCATCTTTGTCGCCATATTTGTCACAACGTTTCGGCCTTTATCCACTGTGCCATGTGTCTGGACACATGGCACAGTGGATAAAGGCGTTGGTTAGATCCAGTGACATACCCAAAGAAGGTGAGTTCAATTCCTGGTTAAGGCAGTGGAGAACTTTCAGAGGGAAAATTAGCAGGAGATAACTGATAACTGACATCCATCAAACATGGCACGTGGAATTAGAACAGTCTACCCCAGTGATCGAAATAAAGGGTTCAGTTCGAAATTCCAACCACCTGAAGAAGGCCGGAGCGTACAACGGCCGACACGTGACAAATATGGCGACAAAGATGAGGACAATAGTCCGACTAATGTAAATACTGTACATAATACCTCATCTCAGTAATAATTTCAATGTCTGTTAATTACTCTTAAAAGAACTTTACATAGTAGGCATGATGTGCAGAAGATGAAACTTCAACATCCAGAGCTTTAATGAAAATTTGGCCAGGTTAGCTTAGTTTAATCTGAACAGGAATAAGCATTTAATCTTAAAGTTGGTTTTAATATATGATAGGATTTTTATGATTTTAAACAGTTTGATAGCATAAATATTACAAGCTGGTCTTGAGTTTTTAGCCTGGCCTGCTTCCAAAAGATATAACCAAATAAACAATGTCTTTAGGGCTTCTTGATTGAGCATTCTAATAGTATTTCTCCAAAAATTTACTAATATAATTTAGTTGGCAGTTTAAGTCAATATTAGGTTATAGCACTTCTATTTTCAATCTTTTTCTAGCTGAGCAGAAGCCTCTCTCATGGGCTAGCCTGGCTAGCAAGAATGCCCCGCCAGCACAGCCATCAACCACTAGCGCAGGGCCTGCTGGTCATGCCCCGCCCATTGGAAAACCCCAGGTTGCAAGACCTGAGGTCAGCAAGCTGGATGGCAATCAAGGCCCACAACCCCAGAGGACTCCTCGGTATGTTTTTTGTTTTTTTTGTTTGTTTTTTTCTCTTTCTTTTTTTCTCTTTCTTTTCCATACTGGTTTAAGTTTTATTTTAATTGTGGTACTTTCTGATTAAGTGATTTTTCATCTCTTAGCTCTAGGCATAAAACCTCATTGCAAATTTGAGGTTTATACTGCATTTGTTTCTTAATCTCTTGATGTTATTTGTATATTTTTTTGTCGAGTGTTTGTTCAGATAATGCAAAAATATTACACGATTTTTTTATTTTTTTTTTGCATTAGAATTATAAAATTTGGAAACTTGCAATGATGCTGTAATTTGCGTCTGATGCTACAATGCAGTGATGGTTGCCTGCCATCTTAATACTGTGTGTGTCAATTGACGAGACAAACATTACTGAGCAGGTTTGTCGGGCTAGCTTTGTCAATACATATATAAAAAGCATTGTTCATTAGTTAAAATGATTCCAAAACTATGAGACCCACTCTCCCAAATTGGAATTCTATTCAATGAAGTATTGATTTCAGGTAGTGGATGGGGTGAGTAGAGAGCTTGGCAAGTTTTAATTGACAATTAGGTGTAACTTTATAAACCTTAGATTTGTTTGTAATTGGTTCTCCCTCTAGTAAATCTTTTATTTCATTCCCCTCTCATGATTAGTGAATGGCCGACAATATTAAACTTTGCAATATTAAAACAAAAAACTTATGAGGCAATGCAAAAATATTGGGTTAATTTTCAGTGTAACACCCATGCTCAATTTGCATTAAAAATTTCCAGAATACTTAAATTTGTGAAATTTTTACATGCTCCATTCAAATCTGGCTTGATGGATTTGATAAATCTACCATTTTGGAGTTATTGACAGTGAAAGTTCAGATTCATTACTGTCATTGTTTGCATACGGAAAGGTAAATAGCTATTCAGCAGCGAGTGTATACAAACAACGCCAGTAATGGTTGCCTGCAACACAAATGAATCCGAAGTTTCACTGTCGATAACTCCAAAACAGTAGATTTTATCAAGTCAGATTCGAATGGAGCATGTACAATTACACATAAATGTAAGCATTCTGGAAAATTTGAATGCAAACTGAGTGTGGGTGTTACACTACAAATTAAGCAAATATTGAGTTGGCCAGAAAAGTCCTCATTGTGGAAGTGGAAAGAAAACCATTTGATGACCTGTCAGTATGGGAATCTGCCCCAGATACCAGCTTGTGGGGGGGGGGGGTCCTGTAAGCAAGCTTCCTTCACTTCATTAAGAGAGTTGAACCACTGGTTGTGGAGAAAGTGGAATAGGCCATAGTCACTGAATGGTGGATGTAGAAGAATTCATCTATTTGAATTTCTCCTGAGCTAACCTGGCAGTTTGTAATGTTGCATTGTCTTGCTGAAAAGCCTGACCTCAATTGAACAAAGCAGGATTAGTTTTAGTTTGTGTACATGCAGTTTAACATATGTAACAAGCTGAAAATTCCATCAGACAGATATCAAGATTTTTCTTTCTGCTTCCCAAGTGAGTTAGGAATTTTTGGCCAGTATAATATTACTTTTTTTTTTTTTTTTTTTTTTTTCCTTGTGTTAAAATTATAAAACTTGGAAACTTGCAATGATGCTGTAATTTGCGTCTGATGCTACAATGCAGTGATGGTTGCCTGCCATCTTAATACTGTATGTGTCAATTGACGAGACAAACATTACTGAGCAGGTTTGTCAGTTAATGCATATATAAAAAAGTATTGTTCATTAGAATTAAAATTTTATTTGGTCAATAAAAAAAACTGATCGTTTCCCGAATGACCCACAATTTGACATGTATTCTTTCTTATATTTTTTTATATATATATATTTTATATTAAATTTTTATATATAATGGGCTCAATTTAGTTTATAAATTTTTTTTTAATTGTTCTTTTCCCCAAATGAAATTTTGGTCTAGACGGGAAAAAAATATTTTCTTGCTTTGTTTTTTGTGTTGGGGATGGTTGTCATTTTGTGGGAGGGGGGCGTTGGGGGGTAAAAAATGTCTGACGGTCCGGCAGCCAAAGGGGGGGGATCGTCCTGACGTTTTTGTTGGGCCCCCTTGGGGGAAAACCACTTTTGTTAAAATTTTTTTTCCAAAATTTGGTAAAGTTTTAAAAAACCCCAAAATTTTTTGCCCCAAATTTTTTTTTTTGTTTTATTTAGGCCCAAAAGTTTTTTTCTAGGGGCCTTCCCCGGGGTTTTGTTCCTTTTTGGCGGCAAATTGTGAAAACTTTTTTTTCTTAAATTCA